TATAGTGGTTTAGCTGGACTAGCTTTTGAGCTCCGTGAATGTAAAGTTGTGTGAAATAATCAAAGAAATAAAGTCTTACCTTCATAGAGAGTAGTCTGTGTTGTTCTCCTCGCGATTTGAGGCCTTTTTGATGTGTTTTAGCTTGACGCCCTAATCACCACCGAGTCATCGTGCACAAGATACGGGAAGGAAGGAAACTTCTGTTGACACATGCTCGCCAAAATCGCTCGAAAATAACACTTAAATACTTTCCCTCGAATCAAAACATGGCAGCACGAAAGCCAAATAGTTGCCCTTTAAGTTCACCGAAAAACGTCCCACAAAAGTTGGTTTGTCGAGCAACCAAACCAGCGAGAATTTCAAATCAACGGCCGTTCTGAATTCTTCTAATGCGTGGAAGGAACATCTTGTCCTGCTGAGAGACCGTTAATGCGTGGTCAACCTGGACCCTAGTCAAATCTCTCTCAACGGGTCCTCCCCATAGTCTTCTTGCACCAACCCTTCACACATACTAAGGTACCCCGGCTTAGAGGATATTTGTAAAAAATCATCGTCATCGCTGACCTATGACATTGCGGAAAGACAACAGTATGTTATTCAAATCGTCAGATCGTGAGATAGGAGGGTTTTCCCGACATATTCGAAAGAAGACATGTCTAGTTCCAAAAGAAAGGAGCACGAAGATCTTGACTTCCTAAACACGAAGAAAAGAAAAACAATATCAGTTCCTTTTTATTCTAGAATAAAAGCGTGGTGAGTGTTTTCAAGCAATTTTGAGAGAAACGTGAATAAATCTGGATTGTACTGAATCTTCAGATTTTGATCACTCTTCGTTCTGATCGAAAGCTCATTCTTTCCCCCACGTAGGCTGCTCTTTAATTACGAAGTTTCTAAAGGAAGTTTTACTTTGCGAGAAGACATCGCCAATGGTCTTATGTTTGAGAAGGAAAATGTCTTGACTTCTCCAGACGATGTTATAAACAAGTCTTAAACAGTTGTCAGCGCTGACTAATGATAAATATCCTCTTACCTGGGGTGCCTTAGTATGTGTGAAGGGTTGGTTTTAGGAGACTATTTTCATTTTACTGCTATCCGAGATTCATCTGTATATTTATGCTCGGTTGTAAACTTTCGTGCAAGGAATCTAAAGGTATTGACAAATGATTCATTGTGATTTTTAACTTGTTCGTGAACCCCTTATGTATTTATATTTCTCAATACATTTTAAATAATTATTATTAAGCAGGCCCCCATTCAAACTGGATCGAATGAACTGGGCTAGCCTGCATGGATATTGCTAACAGATAAATAATAAATTTATTTGAACTGATACACACAAGTTTGATAAGTATTAATTTTCCATGACAAATCCTTTTCGCCCCTAGTTGTCCTGTTCGTATTGTAGAATTTCTCGATCGGGCTAATGTTTACCCAGAACGAAGGGAAATCCTTATAATTAAACCGGACCCAAATATTTACATCAATCATCATCATCAGCAAAAATAGAAACACTTTACAAGCGAATACCGTCAAAGTTATGAAAAAATAAGGTGTGTGGGGAATACTGAGGCACCAGAGCTCAAAGAAAATCGAACGAGAATACCCTCCATTTTGATTTTCCTACAATTTTATTTTGGAACATAATACGTCATTAATATAGGTCTCCAAATGGATAGTACAGAGACAGAGAGCAAAACTAATACTTAAAATCAATGATATTTTTTTCTTAGCTTTTGTACGGTTGATGCATAATTTGCAACTTTTACCACTAATTTTTACTTAATTCATAGAATATTCTGCTAAATATCAAACCAACGGTAGTTTCAAGACGCTTTTAGAACTTTATAAGTATGCAAATTAAGAATTTTTCTGTTTTCAGTGAATTACAATGCCCTTTGGCACGAAGGAATTGTTCTGATGAAGGTCGTTGAACATAAGACCCAAGACGCCAACACGGAGGGAGAACCGTATTTAACAACGAAATTCGATCCAAAATACAGATAGAAATTTCGTTGGTACTAGGCCTTACAAGAGAATTTAGCCACTGATGGGTGTGACATAAGTTTTGATGGAAATTAACCACCAGCCATGGAGGCGGTAGAAGCTTCCCGGCATCCTTTGTAGGAGATCCATTGAACTACATAACTTACGGTACAAGAGGATGGTATCTGACGGAGACAGCAAAGCCTTTAACACTGTTGAAAATGTGTATGTTAAAATGAAAGTTATTAAATTGGGTCGTGTTAACCATGTCCAAACGAGAATGGGGAAGCACCTTTGGGCTTAAAAGCAAGGACAAAAGGAAAACCTGTAGATAGAAACCAATTGGGAGCCGCGGAAGGCTCACTGAGACGAAAGTAAAACTTCAAAATATTATGGCTTGGCAATACACCATGAGAAAGACCATAATAGCAGTTCTTAACCATAGTGTGAAAACATAAAGATCCTGCTAAACAACACAGATTGTCCATAATGTTCGCTTAATAAAGTATATTTTATATACAAGGCCAATAGATTAGGGAAAAAATTATTAATGATGATGATGGCAAACAGCCGAAAACGTTTGGTTCAAACATTTTGATAATTTTTTCCTAATCTTTTAGCCTTGTATATA